TCATCCACTGGATACTTAGACGATGAGGAACTCAAAGTACCCCCAGCACCAGAGCCAGCTCCAGTGTCCACGCTACCAGAGCCGGGCATGAGTCGGTGCCTCTGCAACGGGGGTCTGTCATCCCTATGCGGTCTTCGCCGGGGCGGCGATCTGCTTCTACCGCGAGGCATCCTAGCAAACACAGCCGCAGCTACACTCCTGAGCACAAAGCAGTTGCGAGTCAAAAGGCATAAAGAATTTGGCATTGCAGGCTTGCACACGCTTCAAACGCACTGTACTCACATTTGACATTTGTTACGCACCTAACTTGCACATCCGAGGGTGAAACCACGAGCTTGGTAAAGCCGCTGCAACTCTCGCAACTGTTGACGCCGGGCACCTGGTGGCCACGAAAATTTCTCAATCAACGCTTTTCTGGAATAGTAGCCAGCTGTGCGAATACGTATGGACCCAGCGCTGGAATAGTGTCGAATCTGCCAGGGCTTCGTCGGCTGTTGATATGTCACTGAACGACTGCGCATGCACACTCGAAAACCAAGAAAAGTATGGTCATCAACCTCCTCGAGTTCTATGGAGGCCCCATAGAAACTTGGGTGCAGAAACTCTTGCATGGCTCGAATGTTAGCAACTGATTGATCACAGAGAACCAGACGACTGTCGACGTATCGACAAAGGAACAAATGTTGTGCTCTCAAGCCATGATCGTGAAGCTGGGCGCGCAACGACTGCTTCCAAATACGCTCACGAAGGATGACCGGTAAGCTTGATAACACCGGAGAGATCTGATTGCCAATGCATGTTCCTCGAATCTGCTGATAGCACCGGTGGTTGGCAACAAAAACTCCTGTGCGAAAAGACAACTGCACTACCGATACCACATGTTGGAGCTCCAACGTACGAAGATGTTGTGATCTACCCCCCGAGGGCCATGCGGCAAAGCTCTCTGCGCAGATGCAGTGCTCTTTCTCAAATCAACAGTGAAAACATGGACACCAGTGCGTTGATGATACTCACGGATAAGCAGTTCCAAAGCAGAAATGATCATCTCTCTCGGTACACTGTTAAAGAAACCAACTAAATTATCATTGAACTCAAGAAGTTCAACTGACGAAGGCATGTCTGCAAGGAAATGGTGGATCTGCTTCCAGATAGCCGGCATATTCAAATCCAAACCGTCCCAGACACTGCTGAGCATAAGCTGAATCGCGTAGGCCGCTGCAGCCAGTAGCTTCCGAAGCGGTGCATGAAGATACGACACTATGGTGCGGCCCTTCCGAAACAACTTCTTGCGTTTCAGCAGAACAAACCCAACAGGCAAACTACCAGACCGATCCACTCCCCACGCGTAGCGCTGTTGAATGTGTCGAGGAATCTGCGAAAACACCCACAGTCGCAAGGCTGCTTCATCGGTCTCAAGTCTTCGAAAGACTAAAGGGTCATCCCACGTACGAAAAACACTTGCGAAATAAAACTGAGGACAGAATGCCACCAAGTGATTGGGGTGATGATCTTCACAATGCACAACAAACTGTCTCAGACCTTTCTTGCAGTTCTGCACTCGCTTCCAATCCAATCGAGATTCCCGAGCTACAGTTTTCTCGTGAATAGCCCATTGCTCCAACAATTCAAAGGACTCAAGAAGGCACGATGGGAGGCCATGAATGCGTCGCCACTTGTCAAAACTCCTGCGAGCATCATCAAAATACTTGGTCCGTGACGGAAAGAATGTAGAATTTGCACTACCCTGTCCAAGATAGCACAAATCTGGATGCAACGCTCCAAGCATCTCAATTCCAGCAGCGACATGTCCATCCACAAAACAATCTCGCGGAAGCTGCAAACTAGAGCACTTGCAAGGAAGATCGGACTCTCCATGCAGTAACAATCTCTTGTTCCAGGCATGCACATTATGCAGCAAGTCTTTACACGATTGAAAGGATGCCTCGCGCACTCGAAAGCTGGGAACATGAAATGGAACCAAAAGAGGCCGAAACTGAAGGACCGACGAACGAAGCCATGTGTCCACAGAGGACACAAAGGATCCATGAGATAGGAACGGAAGGGACAGGGAGGCATGATGATGAGTAGGCCATGTCATCTTGCGATGTTGCACCACTCTTCTGAGGAGGCCTCTTGTGCGAGCCACAGACTCAAGCGAACAATAGCATAAAGTTCGTCGTCCACCATTTTCTGACTTCGAAGACGTTTGACAGCTTCAAAACTAGCTCGTGTGAAACTGGAGAGGTCATACAAAATCTCCCATGCTTGTTGACGCTGCACTGCGCATTCCAAGGGCTGGACGCTGTGAAAGAGTCTCTTACGCATCTTCCTCCAGAGTCTTATGCCAAACCTTGAAAAAGAAGAAAAGCGTTGCCGGCGCGCAGGATGAAAGCCTAGTGCGGTCCGCTTCAGAAAGATCTGAACAAACGGAAAGTTCAACTTTGGCTGCCACTGCGAGATCAAGATATGTTCAAGGGTCCACGCAGCGCGGTAATTGCTGCAAGATGCAATCTTGATCAAAGTAAACTGACGAAAACAAGAGTTTGGTGCCAGTACCGGATAGCCAATTCTGCCTGGGCTTCTTGGCCCTGCTCCAACTTACGTAGAACAGACATACGATTGGCTTCTCTCAGCGTGACAGAAACTCCAGTCGAACCGATATACATCATAGTGCTGGGCTGCCGATAATGTCCAATACCAGATCCAAATCGCCAATCCACAGCCACTTTGATATATACTGCGAAGGGATCCGCATAATGTAGCCAGGAATACTGTAGTGGCGACACTCCCATGCTCTGTAGCTTGCACCGGAGATTGTAGCCCCACGACCGCATCTGCGAATCTTGGAAATGAAAAAGCAAAACAATGTGAAGGAGGCCCTGGGCCCAATTAATGTCAGCTTTGGGAAGATGCAAGCACTCATGTTTGAAAAAGGTTAAGGCTTGTCCTAGCCGACAGATGTCTTGCAAGAGGGCGGCTCTTGCGACCGCATGCTCCTTCTGCGTGGACTCTACTCGTGCTGCGAGTCAGGCAGCTTGGTACTTAGCCACCGCGATGCACTTGCTGAGATTCGTGATACTTAGACGACCAGCAAAGTTGCGATCAAGACCGAACTTGGCAGCTGCATCCACCATTTCATTCTTGTCACCGTGCTCAGTCAGCAACTTGACAACAAAGTTGACATGTTTGTTGAGGTCCCGAAACTTGCCTTTGTACTGCTGCTTGATCGACAGCATCCAGGCTTCAACATGCTCACTGCTCTTACTCTTCGGACGATTGTCTTTGAGCGAATTAACAGCAGTGCCACTCAAAATCTTCTTGACTTGGCTGGAAAGATCAGAATCTTCACTCTTGCGCTTCTTGCCTCGCTTGTGCTCAAGAGGCAAATCAGTCTCATATTTAGTGGGACTGGCAGTGGCTTGCGACCCTTCCACAGACGTTGCCACAGCCTTCCGAGGGGTTAACATGATGCCGGCTTGCGCAAGCTTGGCTTTGGCTCTGATCAACTCTTCAGCATCAGCATGTGATGATGTGGGGACAGCTGGGACATGCGACTTGATCTCTGTGACCAGAAAATCAATCAATGGTTGCATGAACACTGCGGCTTGCTTGTGCTTGTCTGGCACTGGAAGACTGCGCTCTCGAAGACACTCCAATGCAACAGTGTCTACATCAATCTTGGACTCACGTAAGGCTTTCAGAAGCTGCGTGACCAGCACGCTCTCTGCAGTGTTGCGTGTCCAGACTATGGATTGAAATCTCCCGTCTGAAATCATGCGCAGCGAGAATTCACTCATTCCACGAAAGCACAACTCATGCAACCTCAAATCGTCAACTGGTCGGCCCGCAATTTGAGCCTTCCTAGACCAATCCGTAGACTGGACAACCCGAAAGAATTGGTGGTTGCCAGACCCAACAGCCGTAGAGTCGAAGAATTTGTCATCACTCTTGAAATGCGAAGGAATCACTGGCTGAGCTGCTGCGACAGTAGGAGTTGGAGTGGAGGCGGAGTCTTTCGGAGTATTCCACCAATTGTTCGAAGCATAAGACCAATCCTGCTTGCCTTTGTTCCAATCACGGTTGTTCTGGTACCCAGAACTGCTGGACCACTGACGCGAGTCGGTATTCCACATGGCAATCTCGAAGATCTAGGTTACGCAGGCACAAATCTACTGACTTGGACCAGCTGAGACACGAACATCGAGCTCAGTCCCAGACAGGTAACGAGCTAGAACAACAATCCAGTTGGAGACACTTGAAATGTATGAATGTCGGCAGACTGAAACTCTGGCAGTAACAGACTGTAGCTGATCAGCAGACTTCAATCAGGTGTTCCGATCAGGGAACTGCAGCTGGTCATTGATATGACCGTCATACGGGCAACCCCGGAGCAGACAGCGCGCTGAACGAAAGCTGTCTGGAGCACACATGTGCAGGTCTCCAACTGTGAACTGAACAGAGGTTTGACCACCAATCTTAAGTCTTTAATCTTGCACTCCAGCAACACTGTGGGGGTTCTTGGCTTAGCCCCATGCCAAACTGAGTCTGCTGAAGCAATCAAAATCATTGAGACTACCGAAAATATCGCAGGTACAGGTGGTTGATCAGACCACCCTTCCCCTGTCTTGGAATAGCTTCGTTGGCACAGGTATCCAAGACAGGCCTGTGCCCCCTGCTTGAGACCTATGCTGACTGATGCGCAGTTGCCTGGTACTCCGACACTGGACGGACACGTTCACTGATGCTCCCTCACTTACTGCAAATGTTTACCAGCAAATCCTTGGCAACAGGAGTCACACACACACACACACATTTTTGCGTGGACTGCGAAACTCAATTCCCACCGTTTGTGCCTGAGACGTATGTGTACCACGTGTCTTTTACAGTGCGTTCAGCTCTTCCCACAGCCAGGTGTCCCCCAAACGTAAAATCCAACCCTGAACCACGGAAGCACAAAGTCAGAACAAGCTGTAATCTCGGTGTAATCTTTGTCTGGGCTCCCGCTGGAGGCACCACATAGCTGGAGACCTTGTCTGCAGGGCGCTGCAAGTTTCAGAAACTTCAGGTCTTTCAGGCCAGTCATGTCCCTGGCTTCTGGGTTGACGACAGTTCATGGTCCGGATATGTCCGGATGTTCAGCTTACAAATGTCCACATGCAGCGGGTGCTAATGTACCAAGTCCAGGGTCTGCGTCGCGGGTGCTTCGCGCTTCGGGCTCAAAGTATTGGAGTGCGTTCAGCAGCTGAGGCTATAGACTATGCAGTCAACTCCGGAAGACAGGCTTTGCAGAGCCCTTTGCAGAGCCCACGAGCTTTGGTTTCTACGACTTGCGGCATCGCCAATGCGGTCTGGAGGGCCAATCAAGCCTGTCGGGGAGATGCCGAGAGTGTCCGCAGCGACCTGTCTTGCGCGGCTGGTTTTTGCAGGACGAGCACGAATCACGGGGAAACCGAAGGGAACGGGATGCATGCACCGTCAGCACTGACCTGCGATACGACAAGACAGCTACACACTTTTTGCTGCCCATTCTACGTCGAGGTCACCGCCGCCAGAACCCTACATCCCAATTACGACGTTCTACAACTCCGCTCTGAACCTAAAGTCTCATTGGCCAACTCAGCCAAACAAAACACCACCCAGGTGCAGGGAACCCCGCCTTCTGCACCTGAGTGAAGGTCAGGTTGCTCACTGTCGTCGAGCCCGAGAAGAAGGAGCCCAGCGCCCCCAAGGGAAACGAGAGGACTACGAACCTCAGATACAAGTTTTCCTGCACTCATCCTACAGTGGGGTCGCGATGGATCGCTTTTTTCCGCATGACTGAACCTTGCAAGGATCGAAGGCGTGTCCACTAAGGGCTGCCGCGCTGCCCGTGTGACAGCGTCTCTGACAAGCGTGTCCCGATGATGGCAGCCGGGGCATCCTCAAAACAAGGAGTAGCATTCTACTTGTGGAACTTGTGGAACAACAAACGGTGACGAAGAGATCTGCGCGACGACGCGTGGCAAGGTTGCACAGGCAACTCGTTTCGGGTGAAACATACATATCACCAGATATGTAAAAAGAGCTTCTCGACTTAGCTGTAATCTGGTTTCCGAAGTGGCTTCAGACCTTGAAAGAACACCCTCTGCCCCTCCAAGGCTGTGTAGTCCAGCCCTTCTGGGAGCTGCCCGCACAACAACTATGCCATACGCACCTCATTTCACAAATGCGGTCCGACATCAAGTCACCAGTCCTTGAGAGAATCGCTGGTCCGAAGCAGCTCCACCAACATCAAGGCGCCACTCCTCAGGTGAAGGGGTCCAAGATAGGGTGAACATTCACCAAACTTTCGACCATGCAGGCATGTACGGTGTTTTGGGAAGGTCTCAGACTTCACGTGTTTGTGACGCTTGTCGTGGAGCTCCAATGTCGCAACAAAGCTAGCGCACGACCGAGAAAGCCGCCCGAACGGAGGCTATCCAGGCACGAAAACAAAGGGAATGGTAATGTCTGGAGATTGAGCATATGGAACCCAAGCCCGCTAACTTTGGGAGCTGTACAAGCCAGGCATCATCGGCAAAAAACAACTCACAATTCATAAACAGCTTCATACAGCATTCGTCTGCCGGCAAAATCATGTGAAACCTGCGAAAGCCTCGAATTCAAACTTGCAGCTCGAATATCTGACTCGACAGAACAGACCAAGCTGTCCTGGGCAGGGACCTGGCTTTCCCTGGCCCCACCCACCGTCTCTTCCAAATCCCGACTGTCTTGGATTTTGAAGTTTTTGGCTCCTCATGTAATTAATCCTCAAACAAACACCTGTATCTGTATCTATGGCCGAACTTCTGCCCAGCTGCAAAGCCACAGCCGGGCCTTTGATGCGCTGCGCCACACCCGCGATGATTGTCCCCGGCGAGGTTTCTAGCTCCTATCAGCAGAACTGATCCTGCCTAATGGAACCTGGGTAGCCCTGAACCCTGCCCGAATTTCGTGCAAGACCAACCCTTCACACTGAGGCTTCAGATTCAACTTGCAGATCTGCAGTGCTGTTTTGAGTGCTTCATGTTTCGGCAACTTAGAGTTTGGAGTTCTAAAGTTGGGGGGGGTCACAACACATTGCACGATTGCCGAAGTCATGCACCGGCGCAGCCGGGAACCCGCAGAGCCTTTCGGAAGACCAGGAGCGAAGCGCAGCCCGCGGCCACGAAGGGCAGCAGGAAGGGTATGTAGAGGAGCCTGGTCTTTTTCAAAGTTTTGGCGCCGTGACTGCATTCAATGGCGAATCCAAGCCGCTCGTAGGTCCAGCCCAGGTTGGTCCCCAAGATCCTCCGCTGAAAGATCTGGAGAGTGTGCGTCTGATTTCTCTGCAATTTCAACGTTTTACTCGAGTTTTCGCACTTCGTGTTCTGTTCGGCCATAGAATTAACCCAAAACCAACAACAGCATGCTGATCCCGTTGCTCTAAACTAAACCCACGCAGATGCTAAATGGGTCCTAGAGCCTGCTTTCGGCTAATTGGATGGAATCTCACAACCCCAACAGGGCGCAAGCAATGACAACAATTTCAAACAACTTTCTGGATCCACAAAAGGTAAAATTTTGCCCCCCAAACCCTTGGCTCTTTGGTGCCCAGACTCTGTCCCCCTAGCCCCCACACCTGCAGACATTGCAAAACAGGAACACACCCTCATAAAAGCGTGCAGGAAGATACTAAGCCTCAGTACCGCTTGCAGGTGCCATTTGTACTTAGTCCTGTAGTGCGCGTTTTTCTGTATGCCCACATGCACCTAACAAATACGTGAGTAAACAAGCTTCGGCCAACACTTGCTAAAGCCTTGCCACCGCAAACACACGCCACCAGGGTTGATCAACGTCAAAGTGCCAGAAACCAAAAAAGCTTAAAGGAATGGCTTGAACATGGCCCTTGCTTGGCTTTCTGCCGAAGCGTCTGAGTCAGCGAGAATCGCCCGACGACCGAGATGCGCAAGTGGCCTAACTAACATGCTAAAAACCAGCGGGGACTGTGGTAAGTTCCGATTCTGAAGAGGAAAAACACCGTTGGGAAAGTCTGTACGTGTTGAATCCTCGCGACAAGCTCAGGGGAGGTAGCCACGAAGCAGAACCCTGCACCGTCCCGTAAACATCAGCGAAACCCGAAGCTGTTGCGATTGCAAAGTTGAGCTCCAGGCCCAAAGTACCGAGGGAGCCGTTCACAATCTCGGGCCTGAAGAGTGGCTTTCGGGTTGAAGCGCCGTATGCAGCCTGCAGCCCCTCGATGGCCCCCATTTTACAGCATGGGAGCTCATCCTCGCGCAAGAGCGACTTGAGGCCGATCGGTTCGATCCTGGCAAGGCGAGCTCTAGGCGATGCTAGCCCAATTGAAAACTGTCCTGGTCAAGATCAGGAGAAGGACAGTGAGCCAAAGTGGCATCGTCCGGAACACACAGTCGAACCTGGGCTGCATGGTCACATGGGCTCAAGTGGTAAGCGCTGCTTGGGAGTTGCAAGCGGGTTTGCAGTCGTGCGTTGTAGCAGCGGCTGCTACCAGTAGCGCAGCTAACTTGCGGCACTTCAAAACATGGAAACGGGCGAGGAGGGCACGCGGTCAGGTTGAAGCATACAGGAACTCGCATTTGCTGAGCAGATTGTAATGCTTAAAAACTTCAAGCAAACCCTACACCGTTTGTGAACCTGAAGTCAAAGCACACGGTCACGTTGTTGTGAAAGTGCTCTGCGTGGGAATCGTCCACCGTCACGGTCAGCTGTTGCGGAATATCCTCTTCCTGCTATTCGGCAGGTTGACGAGCTTGCTGCAGGGCAGGCTTTGAAGGGTCAATGCTTTCGAGCTCGGGCAGATGTGGCTGCAATAGAAATGGTAAACGTCGTAACGTTGGTACTACACAGGAGGTAAAGAAAAGCAGTGTCATCAATGTCCGTGCCAGAAACTTGACAGGCCGCTATGAATGCAGAGAGGTGTTGGTGAAGCAGGCGGTTCCTCTCTTCCGAAAGCACTCGAGCCAATGCTTTAACGCCTTTCAAGCCCGGTGGTTTCACCTCGTGGCGCGTGTTCTACGTCCTGGTTGATGGCCGCGACCACTTTCGCGGGTGCCACAGATATACTCCGGTGCTCGGATAAATATCTCAGAGCCTTTGGGTCATGAGAAGAGGGGTGGATGCCAAGGCCGCCAGGTACTACTGACCAAGCCCTGCAGAGGACTGCTGCTATGTCAGCAACATGAAGCGCAAGATCGCGTGGAGCTGGTGCGGTACCCTTATGCGGTTACCGCCACTGTTTGCTACTACGGTCTAGCCCACAGCTGCAGAGCTTCGGCCTTCTTCTGCAGGACCACCTCCCTGTTTTTGGCCTTGTCTTTCGAACTTCGACAAGAGAAGTTGTTGGCCTGCCAAGGTAAGAGCATGCGAGAGCCCGCAGAACATCGCAGAACTTCAGATCTGTGGGTTTCGCCACCTATGTGATCACGAAGTCCAAAGACATGCGCTCAGCCAGGCGACCAAACCTACGAGTACTAAGGTGCACATAAGGCTCCAAACCAGAGCGGCGAAGGATCGGCGATTATGTCTTGTTTGCAAGAAGAAACACTGTCGAGCATTAAGTTCAGAACTTCTACTTTACAGCTTCAACGGATACTACTTACTACAAAAGGTCTCCAACTTTCCTGTTGCCCGGCCTTCAGCTGGTCGTCCTGACTCTCGGACGGCACCTTGATAGTCCTTTGTGGGCCCCTCTACTGTCCATATTCACGGCCGTCTGTAATGCTGCAATCCAAAGCATGCCTTCCCTCTCTCTCTGCCGTTGCATCCAGAGGGTCTAGCAGCGCCAGGCAACACAGGATGCTCAGCCCTTTAGGCCCCTAATGAAACAGTGAGGCGACCCTCAATGAGCAGTCCGCGCCGACGTATGCCAAGCACAAACCTCCGTCTCCACCCTGTCGGGATTGTTAGGTGTAAGCAACTTCTATTGAGCGGTTCCCCGTGATAGGATACAGCTTAGGCCGGCCATCCTCGTTCCCCGAATGAGCCGTATTTCTCACCCCACAGTTCCTCACCCGGAATTTCTCGGGGGTCACACCTAGCCCCATGCCCACGGCAGAATCAATACAACGAGTGACTCACTGGTGACAGTGGCATATCTTAATGGGATAATTGAGCTGGCTTCTAGCCCTGTCTAGGCTGGGCAGCTTTGCGGATGAGCTCTCATCCACATAAACGTGGACTATCGTGGGTCCGATGACGATTTATCAAGCTTATACCTGGGCCCAAAGCGGCCCTATCCATTATTCCTTACTTACTCTGGTGCAACCCTTTTCTTCTCCGTGTCTTCTCGCCTGATCTCACACCGAACCTCGGGTACACACTGCCTTTAGCCCGAGGCGGTGCCAAAGTTCTGGGAATAGCACAGTAATGACAGCAGCTGATCTAATTTTCTTGGACGCCCGCTTGCAAGTCACAAAGGTATGGTCTGGTTGGTTGCTTGCCGTACATTCTCGGACGAGTTCTCATCACAGCCAAAACCTCTTGACATTCGAGCTCAAGACCACAGCGCGACGGTGCTAGAGAACCAAACTGCTCCCCAAATGAAGCTGGCGACGATATCTCTCACCAGGCTTGAAGGGTACGCCCCCCCCCCCCCCCCCCCNNTTGGGTTTTAGGGGTTTGGGGTTTACAGGATCCAGCATTTGGGAGTTGTTGGGGGGCGGGGTGTTGGACGCTTCCGGGCTATTTGACATGATTGCGTTGCTTACACAAGTAAGCAAGAGCCAGACAAACCGCGTCAAATAGTCGCTGAAAGTCGCGCGCGTTCTTACCGTACTGCACTTCTTACTACTAGTATTACTAGTACTACTCGTACGACTAGTACTACGGGTGCTACTATAGTACTACTACACTACTAGTCGGACCGACTTTCCAGGGATGTGTCCGCTGAGTCCGCTGGGTCTGAGCCCCCCCCCCCGCCCCCCCACAATCGCACGCTCGTCTGTTGGAGGTCTGCCGAGTACTTATGGCAGTGTTTGCCGTGACTGCCCTGGTTTGCAGAAGCAAGACGCCATGACCTCGGAAAAGGGAACACAAATACTTTCATTCCGGTTGCCTTTTGGTGCCGTTAGGCTGCTGGACTCTACAGAATGATCGCCTTCACTCGTGAAGCCGTGATAGTTCCCGAATCGTACCACTTCAGCAACTGCAGTTGAAGGCTCGCCCTGCGTGCTATCTTTCTTTCTATTTCCGGGCATGAGGGGTAGGTTTCTGCGCTGTCGCGCATCCCTTTTGGTGCTGAGGGAACGGAAGCAGCTTAGACGTACTGCCCCTGGCCAGGGATACAATAATGGCTGCATCCCGAACCAAACCGAACCTGGCACCGCACTGCCTTGGTCTACCTGCCTGCCTGAAAACCCCGCCCCGAAACCTCAACGTTCTCTCACATGTGGCAGGTGCATGCAGCACTCAAAGCACTAGGGTGCACCACTCTGCATCCCCGCAGCGCGCTCTTTCTCTCTCCTTCTCTTTCTTTCTTTCGCCAGGGCTATGGGCTCTCTCCTTCTCTGTCTCTCTCTCTCTCCTTCCTTCGGGAATGGGGGATCTGTCAGATCCCTCTCTCTCTCTCTCTCTCTGTCCCTCAACCGCTTTTCGACTAAAGTTTCTTGCAGACTTGAAACACTCTGCGAAATGTGAAGGCACCAACGAAATCGAAAACCACCAGTACTCGTGGCGATTCGGAAGGCAGAGAGGAGCACGAGAGGCCAAAGCCGTGTGCTGAAACGTCTGGACTGTCAGGAAAGCAAACGAGGCCTAATTGAAGTAATGTGCTGGAACTCGCCTTTCCGGCAGTCACGGCCAGCGCAGGACTGCAACTACAACTCGATAGCAGATTCCTTCACCCTGCATGCAAAAAGACCCTGTAGTGTTACCACACTGTTTGTGAAACTTGGGCATAACCTCCAAATCACATCCGATAAACAAACCCACACGGCCAACTGTTCAAGCTAGCAGGCCCGGAGACAAAGTGTACGCCGGCAGCTGGCGCCTCCAAGTCTATCAGGTCCTCCGGGCCGCTCCGAAACGTTCCCAACTTCCAGACAAGATATGAGGCTTAGTCACTGAGTGGCATGCGAGGCAGTAGCTGTCACGAGAGTTCCCACTGGTATTTACTCGTCTTGTGGATGGCAACACCCAGGTGTCTGACAGAAGGCAATGAGCCTTGAATAAGCCTCGAAGTAAATCCTCCAGAGTCGTCTGCGAAGGCAGCCTCTCTGGGTGCCCCTCGAATTGCTACAGTATTTAAGTGGACTCGTGAGGGTGGACTGGCGACCTGATTACGTTTTGTGTTTTCATGTATATCTGCTCTTGTCAAGCCCTGAGCCTTAGCCGTCCAGCCAGAAGCAGACAAACTGAGGTTTGGTGTATGGCATGCGGGCCCCGTGGGCCAACAGCCACTCTCCGAGTGGTGGCTCCTTCAACGAATTTTCCGGCTCCAAGATCTTCTCCTGAAAGGGGCAGATAAAGCAGGTAATGAAAGTCGGATGATAGTTATGATCGTAACGATCTCCCATCTGCAATACTATGCCCATCATCATTGCAATCAGTGCTACATACTCCGCGCCACCACCGCGCCCACCAGGTCAAGGTCATGATGCCAGGATCGACGTAGAGAAACGAGGACATGTTGGCAAATGCTGCTTGGCACTCTCAGATGTGTAGCGGTGCTATGAGGCTATTGGGCAGCAGGCAAGTGAGCTTTGTCATTATTGCAGAACCGCGCAAAGAATAGTGAACGCGACAACACAGGCGCAAAACGCTGAACACTGTTCCGACCGCAACAAACTACACTTAGACTTTACACTGCGAACGGGACAGCTAACAGCAAACCACAATGTAGCCACAAGCAATGCACTTTCACCGCACCACTGGCGGCTGCTACTAGTATCGTGAACAATCACAAAGCACGTCTCAAGATGAATAACGATTGATAGGCTCTCTTTGTCTGCAGCCCGCTTCAATTGCGCCGAAACCCTGCCCACCCCGCGCAGAGAACTCCTGCTCCACGGGTTTCTCGTGTTCTTCCACGGCTTCGAGAGCAGACGCAGCCGGAGTTGGTATGGCGGCCTCCTAAAACACTTCAGCATCAGTGGGAAGTCGAGGCTGATTCGAACGACGTCGGTTTTACGGCTGCTTCTGTCAGGTCGGAGGGCCGGATCTTCAAATCTAGCTTCTGATCTCAAACTCAGCCCGCTTACGCCGCGTAGCTGTGAAGCCCCTCGCATGGTATCACCGCGCTTGCTGCCCGAACACCTTCTGTCTCCGAGTACATGACGACCTAGACCTTTGTCCCTGTAGATAGTACACTCACTACTTCAACAAGGTTGCAGCACTTCCCCTGTCTCTGGAGCAGCTTTGGGAAAAGGTTCGGCTACAGTGGGTGCATGCGCCAGAAGAGCTTCAGGGCTCATTCGGCTCGAGTGTGTCACGCAATGCTTTCGGAGTGGCTTTTCTGGGTCAGATGGTTTCTGGAGAAGGAACATGCCCCTGGTCCTTCGAACTGGTCCGCTCCACGTGGCGTTGATGGGGACCGAGGCCGATGCCTGCATCACCACCGCTCGTGACCCTTGGAAACTCTTCAGGTTCATGCCGAGATGACGGTTATCTCATGTGGGAATGGGAAGACAGCCGGGCCGGCATAGCTTCAATGGTAAGTGCTGGTGATTCGATTGCAAGCCGGGATATTCGGGAGACCAGATGTTTCCTTTTCTTCGCCTCTGTCAGGGGTCTTTTGCCTTCTGCCCTTTGCGCACAGCCCTCGATGCTCGATGAATCGCTTGTCATGGTACGCCGGAGCGTCAAGATGGTGGTCAAACATAGCCCCAGGATTCCAGCAGCCAAGCTCGGAAACTCGTAGTTGAAGATAGACCTGAGACTTCTGACATGCCACTCTGGGCCGAGGATCACCACAATGCAAACACGATGGGGATCAACAGCCCAGGGGCAGTCCGATGAAGGGCACAACGACACTCGTAGTGCTCAGCATCACATACAACCTTGGCTGATCGTTTTGGGGAGCTTGTCACAAGCTTGACGCAGCAAGACTTAGCCGACTTAGCCCACAAAAGTCTGGCAAGAACCCAGAAAGGCAAGGCCAAGCCAAAGAAGCAGGCTCGGCCGCAGCTCTGACCAGGGCACGATGATCTGGACTACGTAGGGAACCTGGCTTGGAGCTGTGTCTGGGAGCTCAAAGCTTGGCAGGTTGCCACCCCGTCGATTCTAGCCATTCTAGCCAATCCCTCGAAATCTCACATACATGCAACCAAAGGCATTTTGAGCAGCCATACAGATCAATAGAATTATGAGCCTTTAAGCCTGAAGCCGAAGGGGCCAGGATGAGAGCGCAAGTGCTCAGGGCGACAGCTGCACGAAAGCCCACCGCCATCAAGTTCTCGTCGCCGAAGTCGGGCAGGACCTGGGGTTCAGGACATGCCAAAGTAACAACTATTGAAATATCCATCAACGAAACGTTTGTTGCGAACAACTGCTTCATTCAGCCCTGCCTCAACGCCTGATCTGCCGAATGGCAACGTCTACAGAACTGAATCCGACCTGCGAGAGTCGCAACCGCATAACTCACGCCCGCCTCTCCGATTCCAAACCACACGGGCGTGCCCACTGCGCCGAAGATCGTCATGAAGGTGTTGAAAGTAAGGAGGCACACAACACACTCCTGGGCTGCGTTGCTATGGGCACTCCAAAGTGAGGCCAGGACCGGCCAGGAGTCCATCTTCGGGTGCCCCATGGAGTAGAGCATTGGTGCCGCGAGGGCTGCAGGAGTGCCGAAGCCAGAGGCCCCTTCCACCTCAACAGTTCAGTCTCTAAGCACCCAAGACGCTCAACATTGAACGTTTAACATCTTTTCTTGTGATTTGAGACGGGTAGCTCTTGGTCAACATGAAATGACATGAATTGCGATCTCTTGGCCGGCTTGGGAGCCCCACCACGAAAGCAAAGCAGAAGCCGATGAGCATCACTTCGGCCACTGGGTGGCTATCTGTGATAACCCGCAGCTGTACCTTCAGATGGTGCCCCGAAGAGTGACGCCATCTCAAGGACTAAGGACCTCTAGACCAAACTGAGCAAGTCTCGACACGACCTTGACAAGCGTTCCGACAACCTTCACACAACGGAGCGTCGCGCAGGGCCTTCATCCATGCAAGGCAATGTGCGGACTCCATGCAGTCGAACAGGAAGATGGCTCCTCGCCAAGCGATTCCAGGCGTTTACTATGTTTAATATTCCAGGATGAGGTTACGCTGGAATATGCCGCAGTGGAGAGCTTTCGTGTCACCATTGAGGCAGGACCTGTATCATGCTTGGCTGCAGAAGACCAAGCAACACTGTAACGAGGCATGGCGACGAAGGAAGGCTGTGAGAATCTACAGCCACGGAACTCCTGCCACGATGCTGCAAGGCGTCAGCGCCTGCAAGCAGCCTTTGATGAAGCAGGCGCAGGCCTCCGGGAGCTAAGGTCGAGTCCAGGCCTAATTACGCTGCATGACCTTCCGCCAGCAGGGCTGGATTAAGTCGTGGGATTCAGGACCGGTTGTCGGCTGGTGTAACAGGACATTGATGGGGTTAACGCAAAGGCTGGTATGACTGCTCGGGCCTCGAGGGGGGCCGCCTGGAGGTACCACAGCTTCAGCACAAACAGGATGACTGCCGCACACCAGAGGCTCCTGGTCAAGCAAGGCATGCCGTCAGCCTTGGAGCCGCCTTGTTTCCCTTTGCTCGGATGTTGTGTTGCAAGTTTGCGCTGCTTGCACGTATGCGGCTATACGGATTTGCGATGTCGGTCGGCACCACATGCTGCTTGAGTGATGTATTGGCAATGCAATCGGTAACCGCAGCTTCGTATTCAATCGCCGCAGCGGCTCTTTGCAGTGGGCATAGGCTTGGGTTTCAAGACCATCGCCACCAGGAAGGCAATGGGCAACAACCTCGCATTCACCGGATGGCAACGTGCATGCAGATACGGAAAGTCCACCGAGCAACAACTGAATGTTGCATTTACAACACAATGCTTGCAGTGTCAATCTTCGCCTGAAATGGAAATGCGCACAAAGCTGATCGGCAAGTGGCAAGATGGGGGCATCCCAGAAGCCCCAGGGCCCCATGCGACTCATGGCAGCGATGTCTAGGGCAGCCGGTGGGATAACGACTCGTTTTGAAACTCTTTCGCGCCAGATTGCCGCAAGTAAATCATCCAAGCAAGCCTGCAAGCGTTGTTAAGACATAGCCAGGCTGTGATGATGTCAGGAAGAAAAACCTTCCGCTGCGCAGGACGCAGCAACAGAAATTGACTGAACTTAAGCGCGGGCAGATTCCTGTAAGCATGATGTTGTCTGTCTTCCTGCTTCGTCTTGATAATTAAATTATTGTCTCCTTCGAACTATCTGCAGTCTTCGGCAGTATCACCTGGCATGCCTTTGCGAGACGCGGCATTTTGGTGTCGGTTCAAAGCCTCACATCCTAAGGTACAATTCGAGCACGGCGGAAACTTGCCGCCTGTCGTCAGTTCGATGTAGGATCAAGCCAAACAGTCAAACACGTCTACTTGACATGCGAATCCTTCAACATGTCAACAGAACCGATCTTCTCAAGGTGGCACATTCGAGCCACTTGAGCCAGGACCAACCAAAGATTTGTGGCCAGCTCGAGCCACTGGTGAAACCAAACACCACCTGGGTCCACTCTTGTGTTGAGGAGGCTGCATCCGGTAGTCTAGACCGTCAGCTAGCAAAGTACAGCTGCCATCGCCATGACCGCGACTGGCTCTTCAGCGTCTCTAGCGTTTGTACCTTCGTGTGGTGAAGGACCAATCGCCGAATGGGTTGGAGAGGGAGATTTGGCCCGGTGGATCCAGAAAGCACAAGCACTGCTAGATCTGGGCTACAGCAAGGATGGCTGTAACCCATCACAACTTGGTGTGTGCCCTCAGGTGGCTTTGGAGACCGCCGCCGCAACCAACTCGACGGCTTTCTCGGCACTGAGCACCGACTTGGCCTTGTCGCGAGGCCACTCAAGGAAGTCTGCTTTGACCTCCAGAGTACTACCTGCATGTTTCCGCCATTCACCCGTGGACAGGCTGCATACTAACATCTACTGCGCTGCTTAAAGCTTTGGATGGATGTCGGGCTATGTTGCAGAGCTTGTCTTGGTTCTCAGCAGGTAAGTTTGCTATCGCCTATCCCCACCCTGGAGTGTGTCGCCGAGCCGCCTCTAAGTCCTGCGGCATGTGATTACAAGTGATCAACAGGCGTTTTGGGGCTGCGTCGGCCGGGTTGATGGACGTAGCTTCTTGAAACGTCGAGCCTTCTAATCGGGAGCTTACTAGCAATGCTTCGTGTGTCCCAGAGGGGAATTGCCGCGCTGTACTTCTGGCCTTCTCCTGGATGAGGTCCAGGATACCTGGGCGGCACAAGCTGGGAGACATGGCTCGCCAGTCTGCCTCCAATCCGCTTCTTGGGATGTGGTCGCCCTGGTGGAGCTACAGCCGAGCGTCGTTGAAAGCACTTGACCTTGCGCGGCATTGGCTCTGCTCTGTAGTTTCTCGTTCGTGTGACAATTCTTTTGCGGCCTGATGTGATACAACATCACCAAGGGTTCACGACCGCAATTTCCGACAAACTATGTGCCGAGGCTAATCGTGTGATAGCGTTCCGATTTGTGGTCTTACGTCCTGAACCGTCACACAACGCGGGCCTTGTCATGGCCCTCAAAGACCAGCTTCTTCCCGTTGGCCGCCATGGCTAGACGCCCTGCTTCGTCCAAAGCAGCGATCCTTAGGTCGTCGGCTAGGCTTTGTGATGCCAGTGCACGTCGCGAGTCGCGGCGTCGAACTTAGAGCTACCCCGCTGATTTTCAATGTGTTTCGTACCCCCGGCCTGTGCCAGGAGTTCATGCTGCTGACTCTGCCGAGAGTCTTGGCGATAGCCTCGGCACAGCCTTCGGCCATGGCATCCCAGGTGCTCTCATCGTCCACCTGCGAGTTTAACAAGCGGACGTGCCCGTACGACTTCGCTCGTCACATCACCAAACTGACATTGGCAGTGTGCATGTGGTCTTCTCATCCGGGACTAGAATTCTGTAGCACCAGGGCAGACTTCTGGGGTGGTTTATAGCATACTCTCTGCGTGAAGATTGTTGGAAGATGGAGGAAGCCATTGCTCTTGCTGCCCTGTTTTTTTTCACCATGTTGGCATCATTTGGAATCAATCGCAATGTCAATTTGGTTTGCACAGGATGGGACGTGAAAAGCTGATCGCGTTGAAACTGACTGGACATGCTCTCGAGATGTACTCTTTCGACCACGAACGACCAGACTGTGGCTGTAACCTTGGGCTACTTATTCGCCCTCAGTTCGAGGTCATGGGGCTTTCAACAGGGTGTGGAGCTAAGGGTGTAGGCCGGCGATTCGAAACAGACCCTGATGGGGTGTCGCTGCACAATGTTCAGGTGCATCAATGGATTCTGAACTAAAGCTCCGGAAGGTGGCTTGTGAGACTTTCTTGCTTATCTTGCTTCGGGGCTCCACCGGATTTGCCAGGCGCATAGCGCTACGCAACCATGCATGTGGCACCACTGACTTCGATTCCGGCTTCTGAGATGGACTGCAGAATGCTTCCAGGACTCCATGGAATTGAACAGCAAAGTGCCGGAGGATTTGCCGGCCGCCTTGCCGGCTTCAAAGCAGTAGCCTGTCTGCCCATCCACCACCACTTCGGGCATGCCGTAGATGCGTGAGGCCACGCAAGGCTTCTCCATGGCCAGAGCTTCCAGCAAGGCATTCGGAAGGCCTTGGAACCGCTAGGGCCAGGGCCCGGGCCACCAGAACGCTGACACTTCACGACTGCACATGACAAACCCAGCTCGGCCTTCCAGGAAAGAGGCCAAAGCAATGCAATCGCAGGCCTCGAAGACATAGAACGGCTCCTGGGACAGTGCCATTCGAAACGTGGCAGAGAGCCCTTCGAAGTTGCAGTCTACGCTCTGCCAATCTCCCGTCCCGCAGGCGGCCGGTCCAGGCTAAACTCACAAGACCAAACCGCCGAACCGAATGGGGCTGTCTCCTTGGTGAAAGGATGGATGGAAACAGCGGAAGACAGGCCCAAATCAACGACCATCTTCTCAATGTCGTCCTTCAGGTCACCTGCGAGAGTGGCATCTTACCTCAAACTCCGTCACTCCTTGTAAGGAAGCAGGGCACTCGCGACAGGGCACCGCAACAAGGACAAGAAACATGATGACAAGTAGTTGACAAGTAGTAGTAGTAGTAGTAGTAGTAGTAGTAGTAGCAGTAGCAGCAGCCGCAGCAGCAGCAGCAGTAGCAGCAGGAGGAGGAGCAGCAGCAGCAGCGGTAGTGGTCATCATCGTTGTCGCTGTAGTCGTACTGTAATCGTAGTAGTAGGCGTCGTCATCATCGTCGTCGTTTTGGTCGCAGTGCAGTCGTCGTAGTCGTAATTCTTGTTGTCGCCCACATGGCACATGGCACTTCTGTGACAGCTCCACGGGGCCACAACCGTCAATAGGGTGTGCAGCAGCCAAACAAAAACCGCAAACAACCGACCAAAAGTAACCCACACTATTGGGTGCACCCAAGGAAATATGTCCACACAACTTGTGCAAGTGTGGCAAAACTACGGTCAACCCAAACCAGATTCAAGCTGGAAAGCCGCATGATGGTCCATGAATCAAAAGGCTGCAACTTCGATCAAGTTAGCAAGGGTTTAGCAGCACCGTGCAAACAATAATCTAGTGGGCATACTACCAGTACTTCTGTCCCAGGGGCCGGCGCAACAACCAGAGGTAGGAAGAAACCTCTTTTTTATGAGAAAACCAACAAACAACCACAATCCGAGGAAGATACCAGCCCAAGGGTATCAGTGCTCGTTGTGAGCAGCACTGGATACAAACCTTGGGGAGTGGGCCAACTTATGATGGCCACAAGAAGCTTATAAGAATAACTCCCTAACCAAAGATACCGCCAAAACCCAACACAATTGACGCGTTGGACCCAAACACGGTTAAGTGGCCATACGATGGTGAAACGGAAGCTAAGGACAGCTACCCTCAAGTCAATAAGAGTTGTAGCTGTATATAGTTGCGGCAGCAGCAACAGCAGCAGCAGCAGTCTTTGTCATCGTCGTTGTGATGGCATTATAGTAATAGGGTAGTAGTAGCACCAGCAGCAGCAGCAGCAGCTGTGTGTTGCAGCAAGCAGGCAGTAATCACCCAAAGGCAACCCTAAAAAGCTTGGACTGAACAGCTACACGAACTCCTCACGACATTCACGACCCAAGCCCTGAAACGGCACCGTCCCCGGCCTCAAGCCACCCAAACCCGATCCTTAACCCCAAACCCAAAGCCAAACCTTTGAAGCCACCACCCACATCATTCCAAACTGATTGAAGTATGGGTACTCAAAACTACGGACAGTGACACAGGCCTTCGCCGACCATCAAGACCTGTGCACGTGAGCCATCGTGCCCATGTTACGTGAGCAGGGCAGCCGTGCTTGTCTTAACTCCTCCCGTCCGCCTACTCGCTTGCCGGCTTGCCCTGGATTTCATGACTGTCTATGTACTGTTGTCTCTCAGCGGTTGAGAGGTGAAGCGAGCAGCCCTACACATCATGACTTGCCCTTACTCACTCCAACTCTGCGACTAAGACACGTGGATATTGGGCACTTTTCCTGTTTCCAAAAGCTTCTTCACTGCTCGAAGCCTCGGCTGGCATAGCGATTCGATGTTCAGCAGTGGTTTTATCTGCGCATCCTTGAATCCTTGAAGATCACCACGTACACCTCCAACATACAATAAACTCGCCAATGCTGTTGAGGAGCCTGGAAGACTTTCACGAAACATCCCTAACGAGACAACACCAAAAGCATAACATAGCGTCTCGAGTCTCAACGCAACCGAGCTGCAGCACCTTTTGCCCTTTGGCTGCAACGAAACGGCCAATGCTGCCGACCACAAACTTACCCTCCTGCGATAGATGTCAAGACTAGGATGCTGTGGATTTGGCGTTACAAAGAATTGGTTGGCTTGTGCTGCACGGAGGTGGCACGTACAATCACGCACAAGAGTCGGGCAGTCGCCGACAAAGCCCTGTGAGGTGGACGAAGAAAAAGCTCTGTTACCTCTATCGAATGCCTATGCATGCACATGTGCACGAGACAAGCAGCTGAATGCGACGCTGGACAGCATTGTTAGGATGTCTCTGGAGTGTAGAAGCAAGAACCCTCTCGTTGTGGTCTTGGCATGGCGAACTTCGGAGAGCTCTCTCCTCCCCTCCGGAAGTGTGGGGACTGACTATAGACGATATCTTGATGTGCTGCGTGGTTCTTCCACACGTTTATAAACACTGGAAGCCTCCACCTCGGACAGCCCGAATTTCGTCTGAGGCCCCTGGCCCCACTGTTTCAGCTCTAAGTTCGCCTGATCATGCTTTTCCACACACGCAAAGGACCCTGTAGTGGGACACAATTCACAATGCGCAAACGGCAGCCAGCTATGTGCTCCAAAACTTGCCGCATGGTTCATCCTCACATCGCCAATGGACACATCACTCAAAATCCACGGATGCAAAATAATTTCACTCTCATCCATATCTTCCTCGATGGGGTACCTTTTCTTGGCCTCAACTGCCATCTCGGGTGTGCGCTTGAACTTCTCGGTGTCTGTGCCGTTGTAGATGGTCCTGAGCACACACGGAGTTGGCGAGCCGAATTCAGCAGGGCATGCTGCAGGAACCCCTTCTTAGGACACAGAGTCGTGACGCCACGCGCAAGCATCTCACAAGCTCAGAATTGCAACGGGCGCAGTTCAAACAGAAAGCCCATCTGCCCTGTAGTCCGTATGCCGAAAGCACGATAATCTTAATTTCCAACCTACATCCCTCGTGCCTCCCTGCCAAGTCTACTCCATCCTTCTACACGGACCAAGCTCGCCGTGGCTCTGAATGAACTGCGGTTTGATCCCAAAGGCCTCGCGCAGGCAACAGGTGACGCAAAGCTCAGCCGACAAAGCTCTTTGATTCTCTGACCCCATCCCCAGCCGCCGCTGGCCTCGATGATGGACTGTCGGGTAAACTCGGCAATCGTCACGGTGCAGCACTGTGGCGGCTCAGTCCTAAGCGTCTCGCGTAGAGCTTCTGACATGACTCTCGGTGCAGCCTGTCGCTTTGCGACCCCAAGGACTTCTGATCAAACATGTGCTGAGGTTCTGCAAGAGGTCGCCGCCATAGAACTCGGCCTTGTAGGTAGGATCGAATGTGCCGGTCTTGGAGATGAGGAAAGTCTTCAAACCTGCCTCGGGTTGCAGAGAGGAGCAGCAACAGATCAGCATCACGAGATGTAACTTGTTGGGAGATCCTTCAACGATTCCCTTTCTACGACGATGGCACGGATCCGGGGAGGGATGCCCTCTAGCCGAAGCATCGCTGAGTTGTGGCGTGCCACGATATCTCCGGCGCTCTAGAAAGAAGCTGTGACAACGAGTTCTGGCTCAAGGAAGAAGAGCCAGCTGCTGCAGCCAAACAGCATCTTTGATGCACTTCGCCTCGGCTAAGCTGGAGTTGCTCAGTACATATCATTACTTATCTGGTCTTCAGGTGCAAATGCCGGCTGACCAGGGTGCCCGCCGATTAGATTAATCTTGCAGGACTCGCGATGCTGTGCGCTCTGTCACAGGTGCTAAACTGAGTATGATAAGCTAAGACATGTCAAGATAGGTTGGGCGTCTGCCAGTTTTACCGCTGCAGCTCCTTTCGAACTGAGAGGCCATGAAGCTGACATTCTGGTACTTCCCACGGATCTGACGCACCAACGTCACGCACACCTTGCAGATATTTGCAGATGTGGCACGTGCTAGAGCCGACAGGCCTGAAGCTGCTGGAAGCAGATGTGGATACTGTATGGTACTGTGCCCCCTCTGACTCGGTCATCTCGGTCTGATTATGAGAAGCCCTTGCTTCAAGCGTCGTTATGATGGAAGTGAGCGGTTTTAGCAGGACTCACACACGGTGCAGAGCCTGCGCCGGCTTCAAGACTTCAGTAAAAGCCGCCTGGTAACTTTCCGGATCCTGGGGGCAACTTGAGGCCCGAGGCCGCTAAGCCCTCAGCACATGCGACAAGCACGTACCAGTAGAATCTCCAGGGCAGTACTCGTGCGACTCGTGCGACCGATGTGAAGCAATGCACAGTTTCGTCATTTACACAATGCACCTGTGGCACATTCCGTGCACTTCGATGATGACAGTGGCGGCCTGGGCCTGAGGGGATAAAACAAGCCTCCGCTCGCGAGTCCTCTGCGCTCTTCTCGTGGGTGTACTTCACCACGGTCTTTGCATAGGTCTCCACGTCTGGAAGGATCAAGGAGTCCTTTCACAAATTGTGGTTAACAACATGCATTCGAAATTATTATTTCGATCTATTTCGCATGATGCACATAACTCGCTCCAGGATTTCAATGGCGATGACTAGTCTAATCCGTTGTGAGACGCAAGTGCTTGGCTTCTGGTTTCTAGTTTTTCCGCTTCATCGAAGTTCACGAGCCTCTGGGAGGATGAAGGTAATCTGGTGTCCGACTTCAGACAAGCGCTTTCCACAGTCGGCCAGCCAGATTTGGGCGCCCCCACGCATAGTGAGGTCCTGGCAGTGGCCCAGGATCAGATGGCCCAAGACAAGACGAACATAGGGATGCAACCATCGAATACACATGAACATTCAACTCTTAACTCCACTCCTTGCGAATGAACCAACTTGCTCTTGTTTTGATCATTGCTCTCTTCTTCGGCATTGGGCAGGTCGGCGGAAAAATCCGTGACCAGAGCGACTGAACAAACCAGAACGGCTGAATAAAAAACAGCCATGATTCGAAAACTAAAACGGCTGATTCGTAAAGCACAACATGATTCGGAAATCAGAACGGCTCATTCGGAAACCACAATTGCTGATTCAGAAACCAGACGCATCCTTCGGAAACCAGAAGCCGTGATTTGGAAACGGTTGCCAGGAACATTGCGGTCCCAAGGGTCGGGCAGGGCCAAAATCTCGACGCTTCAATAGGCTGTATGAGCTTAAGTATTGCAAAACTACAGTCGATTGTAGCTCGGCCTTCTGACACGATGTAGAACGCATTCGACAATGGACGTCGTCATGGTTGGTGCATGGATGCGCTGTTCTCAGAACGCAGTAGATTATGGACGTTATCACGGTTGGGCGCTCTGTGAACAGAACGCATTACACCATGGACATTATCATACCCCCCATGGATGCTTTCTTGTCAGCTGCCAGAATGCATTAGACCATGGAAGTTATCATGGTTGGGCCATGGATGCTCCATGCTCAGAACGCATGAAACCATGGACGTTATCCGGCCCTTCCTGGATGCTCTGGGCTCAGAACGCATTGGACCATGGACGGTATCCTTGCCCCGCCATGGATGCTCTCTTGTCAGAATGCATCAGACCATGGACGTTATCATGGCTGGGCACTGAATGCATTGTGCTCAGAATGCATTAGACCGTGGACGTTATCAGGGTTGGGCCCTGGATGCTTTGTGCTTAGAATGCATTGTGCCATGGACGTTCTCATGCCCCTCCACCCCACCCCCCATGGACGTCATCATGGTTGGGCCATGGATGCTCTGGGCTCAGGACGCATAAGACCAGGGATGTCGGCATGGCTGGCTCAGCTCAAAACGCATTAGACCATGCCGTTATCATGGTTGGGTCATGGATGCGATCATCTCACCACCCCAGCATCGCTTCCTAGCTCCCGCGCCAGTTTCCAACCTCCAGTATCTGATGCACGTCTCCAGTTTCTGACACGACCAGGTTTCTGATGCGCGGCAGTTTCTGATGCGCATCTGGTTTCTGCTTCAAGGCCCCGTTTCTGATTTTGTAGTGGATCCTATTGAGCATGAGTTGGAGTGCATTCAAAGCTTGGCGGTGCATGGGGCCGAAGGATGACACGTCGCATGCTTTTGTTGGCCACGGGTAGCTGTGTGTTTTAGGTTTCTTGGTTGGGAGCCCCGGATAACTCGCCTGCCGCTGGTGACCGCTAGCGTGGCTGATCATGAAAAAAATTCTTCCCTCGCGCACTCGAAGAAAGCAATTGCAAGCAAGAACTCCACATGTGCAACCTCTCCTCATGGAGCACGATGTTCAGCGTCATGGCCAGCGCTGGCGAAGGCTTCGGACTTCTGGCTTAAACACAAGGCGGGAGCTTGGCCACCCCACTGTTCCACATTAACTATCAACAGATGCTGGCGAGTTGACAGGTTTGAGCCGTATTAGAAAAGACACGTTGCAGCGACGTCTGCCGAGCTAGTGGGACCCAGCGCACGAACAAGACGAAGTACACCTACGTTTATTTATACTTAGCATGTGCTCGCGGTCGGCATCGTCGATGATACAAGTTCAGGTCCAGCTAGTGCAAGTCAGCGCCAGAAAATTGCCCAGCTCACCTAGTCACTCCTTCGCTCTGGGCGAGGTCTCTAAGTTTAAGCCTTTCAGGCACAGAAACAGAAATAGGAATGCCAAAATCAGCAATTTAACAAAATGGCCCCCTGGCTGCCTTAGATTTTAAATTTGGGGCGGATGCAAACAATATGCTCCCCAATCGAGCCCATGCTTGTCCGAGCGTTCTTGTCGAACTAATTACATGTTCCAAAGCATTGTCGAAAACTTCCCAGGGCTATTTTGTGTTTTGTATTTCGTTGCTTTCCGAATGCGTCTCCACTGTTTCATTTGCCTGATCACCTGTCGTGCGTGCCTTCCCCGGTCCCTGGAACCCTCATAGCTCCACTTGTTTCGAAAATTGCCTCGCGACTAGAGTGTGCGGACCTACGGGCACGTGAAGAAGATGACCCACGTCCATGCTGTTGACACTTGCTAGCTGGTATTTAAACTCCGCAATCATCACCTACTGACGTCGGGCATCCTCTCACTGGATGTGAAACTATAGCTCGAGCTCAGTTGCCAAAGCCTGCAGGTTAACTTATCAGCAACAGATGGATCGCTGCAACTTGTTGCCACAAGCAGCATCAAGCAGCTCAAAAGGCTAGTTAGCAGCACTAAACACCATGGAGATGCGTGGCCATGGCCTCAGACACTGCACTCTCTGCACTACGCAGAGCTGTTGTTTGATACGTCTTGTTTAAGCGCCTCAAGAACCTCTCGCACAGCCCGCCGCACATCAGGTGCTCCAACTGAAGCCAAGGATGCCAGCCTTGGCCACGGATCTACAGATGCCGCACGGCAAGGGACTTTCTGGTCCTAAACAAGACTTGAGAAGCCGACTGCGGAAGCAATGCCATCACCAAGCCTCCCAAACGCTATTCCAAGAATGCAAATCAAGAGCAGCATGGGGCTGAGCAAGCCTCGGGAACCAGCCAAGCTGCATGCTGATCTAGCCTGCATCAGAAACTTGTTCAAATAGACGGTGTTGTGTCAGAAGGGATGGGTTCTTGCCTTTGGAGAGATGCCGGAAGTCGCTGCTGCAACAGCAGCCTGGCATGCTGAAGTTTCCACTACGCCCACGACTGCACCTGTGGATCGAACGGTCTGCAGCATCGCCAAGGACCACCTGGTGATTTTTTCACCTGATGATTTAATGCCATCTCCATGGAGGTAGTGGCAATGCCGCAGAGGGGTCAAAGCAGCAAGAGAAGGTTGCTGCAACACTGTCGGGCTTTTTCATAACAGCTCTGGGCGTTGGCAGATGCATCAGCAGTGGCTAAATGAGTAGCATTTCATCCTCGTCTAAGCCCCGAAGCGCCACCCGTTTGGGTTTGCAGTTCAGGGTTCTAGGGTTTACGCTCTCGCCACTCGGACTCGCCTAGGATCTTGGATTTTGGCTCCATGAAAACGTCTCAACGCATGTGCGCAACCACCGCCCCCTCAGCACGCTCCAGCCCCAAATTTCAGCAAATGTCGAATCTACCGCGCCTGCCACATGAAACAGGCTGTTCCCTGCAACAGTTGACAGCATGTTTCTTTTGCGTTTACAGTTTGGATCTCATATCAACTCATGTCATATCAAACAAAGGCTTGCTTCAGTACATTCTCAATCCTGTGCTTAGCCCTGTTTCGTGTGACAGGCGTAGCATTTCCGGAAATTATGTTCGGCAGTGCTACTGTCAATCTCCTCAACAAAACGAAAACAGCGACTTGCGTGTCCCAAACCCCCAGTTTGAAGCAATTCCAAACTGTAAACGCAAAAACAACATGCTGTCAACTTTTGCAAGAAGAAGCCTGTTTCGTGTTGCAAGCGCAGTAACTTCGACATCCAGATCTGTTTTCCGAGGCCCAGGGCCCAGTTGTCCCCCCTCGAGGAAGTACATGCTCCATTCCTTCACACCAAACTAGATTCACCAGACATGAGATCACCAAACCAAGTTCGTTTTGGGTTTGAAGGCCCGCGGGTTCACGAGCCTTCGGACCGACAGTGATGCATAAAGAAAACGGCAGAGTCCCCAGACCAACCCGGAGCCCAAGAGCAGCAGACCCTCCCGCCAGGTAAAGTCTCCACTCTACACCCGAAAACACCGAAAGTTATGGCACTTTAAGTCTTTAGGAGTTTGAGGTCTAGGACTGAGGGTTTTCGACTTCGGCACTCATAAATCGGACAATGCAGGCCCCCACATATGTCTTGAGATGCTCTGAGATGGGAGAGCTAACAGGTCTAACGACAAGATTTAGGGCTTAGGGCTTAGTGTTTGGGCCGAATCGAGCAGTTCGAGACAAGTGCCAAGTCAGCCTCGTCGACTTGAAGCTTCTGCAAAAGCGTGAGAGCCTCAAGTCAAGAGACGGCGTTTCCTCATGGAGATTGCAACACGAGTCGCACCTGGCGAACCTCGACAGCCTTCTGCGCGGCTGCGTCGGCAACGGGAGCTCCTCTTTGCCGCGCTTCCTCGCCAAGACAGAAATCCGATAAGCATGTCATGGCATGGCCAAGCCTGACGGGCCTCGTCCTGCAAATAAAGAGCGAAAAGGGATCGGACCTGGGACTGGAACATTCCGGCGATTGACCCGCAATCGCACGTTCCATGTTGGTCCATTAATCGAAGGACTGCTTGACAGCACAGTACAAAGACATGCATGATGCGCCTGACAATAGGCAGCTTGGCAGTTAGCAGAAATGTAACAGATCACGTGCGGACCATGAGGCAGCCACGTGAGCAACCAGTGCCGGCACTGCAATGCCTGGCAAAGCTCGGTGCAGGAATGAACCAGTCACGGGAGCCAAGAAGTAGTTACAGTAGCACCGAGAGTCCACCACCGTATCTTGGTTAGACTCGTGGTAGCGAGCAACACTCGGCGCGTCACAGAGCACTTGTGACCATGCCCAATCTTCTCAGAACCATTCACTTCTAAGGCTTCCGTTTTGCTCGCCCTTAGTTTAGTTTCGCAATCCCTAGGGCAGCTTTGGTCACAAGAGGAGCTGTATGACAACCTGCACTACATACATACAGACATACGTGCACACATACATACACATATGCACATGTATGTAGATATAAATAAATACATAAATATATATATATATACACATGTTTTTGTGCTCACACGTAGATACATGCATACATACATACAAGCATACATACATACAAACATGCATGCACACATCCGCATGATGGAATGCAAAAACAAACCTGAAAAACAAACACAAAGCCCAACGATCAACAATCAAATTCGGGTTTAGGGCTGAGGAGTAGTAGTAGTGGTAGTAGTAGTAGTAGTAGTAGTAGTAGTAGTAGTTAGTAGTAGTAGTAGTAGTATGGGGGCAGGGGGGAAGCAAGATTGCAAGCAATCCTGCATTTTGGGGGGGCAAGATGACCAAGATTGCTTGCCAATCTTGCTCCTCCTGCCTGACCAAGATGACCAATATTGCCAGCACGGTTCCGCAAAGTAATTGTTCCAAATTCCCGCCACAAAGTAGTAGTAGTAGTAGTAGTAGTAGTTGTAGTAGTAGTTGTAGTAGTAGTAGTAGTAGGAGTCGTAATGGTAGTGGTAGTGGCAGTGGTAGTGGTGGTGGTAGTGGTAGTGGTACTGAATCGAAGTCGTAGTAGTAGTTGTCGTCGTCGTAGGGGTCCAAGTTCTTTTTTGGTAATTTGTGGTTTTGGCTGGGTATTTGTTGTTCTCGGTTCGATTCATGTACAAAACTTGCAAGAGTCACAGGGATGGCCGTATGCGAGGTCTTTTTGGTGATTTTTTATGGTTTTCGGCCTGCTGGTCTTCGGCCCTCGATCGGTCACGCAGTCTGTACATCCGACGGGCCGACCGCCGGCCCCGCCAGTCTACAGTACCCGGTTGCCTTCCGTGCCAACTCAAGCTCTGGGCGTCTCAGCTTTGTGGCTTTAAGTTCTGGATGGCACGATGTTCGTTCAGGCAAGCTTGCACGGTCCAAAAAAACGCAAAGGGGTTGGACCTTGCTTTCGGGCTTTGCAAGGCCTCATACGAGTTCCGTGTTTGACCTGAGATCGCAAATGGCCAAATTGCGTTCTTGACGGTGCGACATTCACTAAAGCACATTCACAGGGGTTAAAAAAGCCGGGGGGTTGGGGGGGGGGCGCAGCCCCCCCCCCTGTGCAAATGCAATGCATAGGGGACTGGTGGTTCATCACATTTTGCATCTTGGACGCCACCGAACCCCAGGAATTGAATAAATTGAAATAATTGAAATGATTTCAATTATTTCAATTATTTGGGTGGCCCAAACAATTGAAATAATTGAAATCCTGGGGGTCTTGGGGCCCGAGCCACCGAACCCCAGGATTTGAATGAATTGGAATGGGGTTGATTTCAATTACTTTAATTATTTTGGCCTCCCCAAATATTTCAAATCATTCAAATAATTGAAATGACTTCAAGTATTTCCATTAAAAATTGAAATCGTGGGGTTCAGGGGTTGGGTGACACACCCCACCGATTTCAATTATTTCAATTATTTGGGTGGCCCAAACAATTGAAGTAATCGCAATAATTGAAATCATCTCAATTATTTCAATTATTTGGGGAAGCCAAATA